GCCAATAGGTGTGAAAATCTCCCTGAAATGGGAGTTGGCAATAGATGGACCCACAGCACTGCTAATGTGCTTGTGGCATTTATGAAGTATTTGGACAGAAAGTCACTCCCACCTGGAACCTAAGGAAGAGTGACAAAAGGAAAAATAATCAAGGGAAGTGGCATTGATTCGAAAGAAAGAGCACAATGGGGCCGGAGTAGTCAGGAGAGCTTTGTGCGAGTCATGGGGTTTAAAGTGGTCAGGATTTAAAGAAATGGACTACTGTTATCTTTTCATCTTAAATTATCCTTAATACCAAATCTCATGGATATTTACTTGAGTTTCATTGTGCCCAAGTTGCTAACAAATTTGATCTCATCTCCAAATTCTTGAGTTCTCATGATTGCATTGTGAGTTCTATTATTTTCTCTTTATTGTCAGCATTGAAATCACAATTCCTTGCTCCAAAAATACAAAAACAAAACCACTTTTGCTAACTCATAAGCTATGAGGCAGAATCTTCTAGTCCTGACCTGTTTCATAAGAGGATCCAGTCCCTGAATAATTTCATCATATTTATATGAGTTACATAATGCATTATTTCTGTGTTGAAACCTTTTATTTAAAAGACCTATTAGAGGATGGTGATTTCTGAAGGCATATATTTGTACTATTTCTCTATACTGAGATAAAATTTACAAACATCACTTAAGAGCAAATATTGCTATAAGTTTTGTAATGAAATTTTTGAGGGCATGTTAAATACTGGAGTTGAATGACTATTGATCTTAGCCTTCATTGATTAAAATATATTGTTTAGTGTGTGTGTGTGTGTAATGGTTTACTACTTTTTGGTGTAAGGAAGGACGTTTTACCAAGTTCTATGTGGTATGAGTTGCACAAAACACCCCTTAGGAGTGGGTTTAGCCATCAACCATCTGAATGGTCATTTCACTCTTCATACTGCCAGTTGGTGGTTTGGGCTCAACTTCTGAGAGGCAGCATCCTTGAGAGAGAAGAGTAGTGTCACTTCAAGAACTGCCTTGTTTTGTACTTAACTTTTCTTGTTGGAAGTGTGAGGACCAAATGTAGCTGTGTAGGATGAAAGCCAGCTGCTTCTGAATAGATCCTTCTCAGCTCTGGAGGGTTGCCCCGCAGATGAGCATAGTTCTGTAGCTCCACTGCCCAGGTTATTATAATCCAGGCTTCTCCACTGACTGGAGGTTTGACTTGAGACAATCTATTTAATCCTTCTGTGTCTCAGTTTCTTTTCCTGTAAATAGATTATCCTCATAATACTTATCTCTTAAGGGGTTTCTGTGATGATTAAATAACTTAATACATGTAAAACACTTAAAAGAGTATCAGCCATGTAGTAAATATCCAATAAATGTATTGTTATTCCTATTACTACTAGGTAATTACAAGATTCCTATCTATAACCCTGCACAAATCTGCAACTAGTTTATCATCATCATAAATCATCTCTTAAATTAAGGTTTTACACCTGAATCAGAAATGCTGGTACTTAGTTATTGTCTGATTCTATGACACGGTTGTCAATTGTCATAGTTTTACATGTCACTCATATTCCAGTGACTTCTATATCTTTGCACAGTTCTGGATTCTAGCTCTGTGCTATATATAACCATATTTACAGATGTTTACCAGAATCTTCACCTTGATGTCCCATGGACACCTGAAAGAAAAAGTACCCACATTCTTAGCAAACTATCACAAGAACAGAAAACCAAACACCGCATGTTCTCACTCATAGGTGGGAACTGAACAATGAGATCACTTGGACTCGGGAAGGGGAACATCACACACCGGGGCCTATCATGGGGAGGGGGGAGGGGGGAGGGATTGCATTGGGAGTTATACCTGATGTAAATGACGAGTTGATGGGTGCTGACGAGTTGATGGGTGCAGCACAGCAACATGACACAAGTATACATATGTAACAAACCTGCACGTTATGCACATGTACCCTAGAACTTAAAATATAATAATAATAATAAATAAATAAATAAATAAATAAATAAGAAAGAAAGAAAAAGTGCCCACAACTGAACTTAGAATTTCCCTCTGAGCCTTGTTTTCCTACTAAAAAATGTTTTAAAACTCTTCCTGCTTTCCTTATGATATTACACTGGGTTGAATATTGTCCCCTCCAAAAGTCATGTCTACCCCAAGCCTCAGAATGTGACCTTATTTGGATATAGTCTTTGCAGATAAAATTAATTAAAATGAAGTTATGCTGGATTAGAGTGGACCCTAAATGCAGTGACTGGTGACTTGATAAGAAAGCCGCATGAAGACATATTGGTATACACAGAGAACACCATGTGAAGTTGGAGGCAGACGCTGGAGTGATATGCCTACAAGCCAAGGCATGACTGCCAGCCACCACCAGAAGCCAGGAGGGAGGCATGGAATAAATTCTCCCTGAAAGCCTCCAGAAAGATCCAATGCTGCCAACACCTTGGTTTTGGACTTCTGGCCTTCTGAACTGTGAAAGAATAAGTTTCTGTTGCTTTAAGCCACTTCCTTTGTGGTACTTTGTAATGACAGCCCCAGGAAACTAATAACAGATACTGTCAACTATTATTAAATTTAGAGTTCTTAGAACTATCCTTACCTGTATTAGTTTCCTAGTGATGCCCTCACGAAGTACCACAGACTGAGTTGCTTAAAACAATAGAAATTTATTCTTCCACAGTTCTGGAGGCTAGCAGTCCAAAATCTAGGTATCAGCAGGGCCACACTTTCTCTGAAACCTGTGTGGGAATCCTTCCCTGCCTCTTCCTAGACTCTGATGGTTTGCTGGCAGTCTTTGGTGTTCCTTGGTTTGCAGCTGCAAAACTCTAATCTCTGCCTCTGTGGTCACCTGGTGTTCCCCCTGTGTGTCTCTGTCTTTACCTGGCTGTCTTCTTATAGGGAGGCCAGTCATATTGAATTAGGGGCCCACCCTACTCCAGTATGATCTCATTTTCCTCATCTTAATTTACCTAATCACATCCACAAAAACCCTATTTCCAAACAAGGTCACATTCTGAGGTACTAGGGATTAGGACTTCACATACCTCTTTTGCGGGGGGGCGGGGACACAACTCAACCCATAGCACTACACCTTTCTTTTTTCACCATTTCAATTGATCCCCTTCTAGCTATTTTATGTTCTCCTGCAGCAGCATCTCTCAGAGGTAGCTCCTGTCCTCCATGCCCACTTCAGCTGCCCTGGTTATGGCACAGTCATCTTTCAGCGGTATTATTGCACTCACCTCCAGATTGCTTTTCTTACTTCATTTCATTCTCTGTACATCCAGCAAGTTAGCTAATCAGTTTCTAATCAGATTTCTGTCATTTCACTGGCCAAGACCTACAGTGACTTCCCGTAACCACAGCCTCAAGTAGAAACTAGCACAGAAGGCCAGAAGTTTGGCCCCAGCTTCTCCTTCCAACCATCTCTCTTGCCACTTTGCACCATGTGCCGCATACCACACTGGGCTACTCACCCTTTCTTGAAAATAGATTTTAGGTCTCCAGGCCTTTGCTTACACTGGTCCCTATGCCTGGAACACCCTTCACTACCCTAAACCCTCTGCTGAACTGTTTTTCATCCCATAAGGTGCAACTGAAACACCACTTACTCAGCTTGCTTCCAAAATTCCATTACATCAAATTATTGAGCCTTTACCTATGTTTCTGTGACACCTTGCGATTCTCGATACTAATGTAACACTAGTAAAGATATAGAACCTCTTATATACAACAATTAACCTTGACAGTCATATTTTAACCTTGACAGTAGAAATATAAGCAGGCATATATATGGACTTTGCCTCCTGTTGATATTAATTAACCATTGCAGCATATTCAAAAAGTTTGTGTGTGTGTGTGTATATACACATATATTTACATATTATATACAATGTGCATCTGTGTGTGTATATGTATACACACACACACACACACACAAAGTGGCTTATCTGCAAGATCACACTGTGAGTGATCCAGTGTTCTTTTCATTGTTTACGGAAGAAACAGTAACCAAGCAGCCAGTATAGCTACCAGTTTGTATTTTAAAAATTGGGTTCTTTAGGCGGCAGTTCACGCCTGTAATTCCAGCACTTTGGGAGGCTGAGGTGGATGGATAACTTGAAGCCAGGAGTTTGAGACCAGACCAGTCCGGCCTATATGGCGAAACCCGTCTCTCCTAAAAATACAAAAATTAGCTGGGCGTGGTGGCATGTGCCTGTAATCCCAGCTACTCGGGAGGCTGAGGCATGAGAATCACTCGAACCTGGGAGTCAGAGGTTGCAGTGAGCAGAGATTGCGCCACTGTACTCCAGCCTGGGCAACAAAGTGAGACCCTGCCTTAAAACAAATAAAATAAAAATAAAAATTGGGTTCTTAAGAAAGTATAGGAGGATCTATCACTGTATTAATGCTGCATGACAACTCCTGAAATTTCAGTGGTTCACAAGAAGGCACATTTCTTTTTCTTTTCTATGGGCATGTAGGTCAGTGAAGCATGGCTGGATTCAGCTAAGCTTGGCTCTTAGTCTGCAAGTCCAGCCTGGTCTGATCCCCCTTGGTCATTCTAAAAACAACGGCATCCTGGGCCATGTTCTTTTCATGGTGATGGCAGAGGCACAGAAGGCCAAGCCAAATGATGCCAGCACACTAGAGCCTCTGTTCATGATATGTCTGCTAACAGTACATAGGTCAAAGCCAGTCATGTGGCCAACCACATATCAAAGGAACAGGAAAATATACTCTTCTTACTCCACGGGAGGTTCTGCAGAGTCATATGACAAAGAGTGTGGGCACGTAATTCTTATACAGGGAGGGAATGAAGAATCAAGAACAAGTATCCAGTCTACCACAAAGTCTTTATGAACCTGAAGTAGATGGTAGAAATTTTCCCTTTGAAAATAAACTTCGGTGTTGAATTTTCAAAACTGTACTTTGAAATGTGGTTCTAATCATATCCATTTTTGTTTTTTTTTTTCTAGAGATGTGAAGATATCTGGCTTGGCATGCCATCACCTATTCCTGCGAAATACATTGACTACTTGACCCTTTTGAAGGATGTGTTTGGCTTAGAGGAGGAATAACCATGCCAGTTTTGGTCAATTCTCTTTGATTTACTTCTCTCATTTTGCCACATTTACTTTAGTAGATATAATTTCATTAAAAACAAAAAAGAAACAAGGTTTATATTAAATGGAAATCCACAAATCACAATTAATCCTATTTTGTCATGTTAGTTTTTCAGAACATCATGTTATATTTCTGCCGTACTGTTACTATTTAAAATGCCATCTTAAAACATGTTGAATATTTTTATTATATGTATATTTTATTAATACCAAAAAATCTTCTGATAATTTTTCATCCAACGTAATTTGATTCATTAGTATATGAACAGAAAATAACTTCTGAAGGTTATACATGACAATACAAAATCAAATTATATCACAGCAATAAGTTGTGATTCTATTAAATATTTTTGAAACCTTTTTGACACATTTATTACTTATATAGTTAAGTTTTGTAGCAACCCACCTCATCAAAATAATTCTTAAACCTCTCTAGAGTAAATATGTTTATTTTTTAAACTTAGTAAAGCTATGGGAAGAAAAAGAACCTCCCCAAAACATACACACACACACACACACACACACACAGGAAACATATGCAGTATTTATATTTGTAATGCCCTTTTTTCTATCTAAAGTCAGCTTGTTAGCTTAGGAATATATGCATGTGTATATAATTATAGTTTGACCAAAAATTTATTATGTCTAAAATATTTACAAATGTGAAAGCTGAAGATTTTGAGATTTTTTTTTTTTTTTGGTTTGTTTTACACACACATCCCACCCGCCCCACCCTAGAGGTTTAAATATTCAGAAACTACAACATTTTTCCCCTGCTTTTTTCTAGTTCTATTTTTATTTTTCTTCAGCAGAACTCTTGTCATGTAGTATACATTTGATTAAAACCCATAGCCATGTACCTCTGGGAATTCAGTGTAAGAAGTCTATCCCCGTCTATCCCATTGTTCAATGTGGGGTGCTATGTATCATAAATCCATTTGCCTGGTGTTCTGGGAGACAATGGAGGTCTCTCAAGAAGGAACTGCAGGGACTACTCTGAGAAGAAGAGGAGCTGATGACATCTCAAGGGACCCTTCGGACTCATTATTCTTTCACTCCACATTTGCAGCAGTGTCTTGCTGGCTTCTTGGCACTCAAATGTACCAATTTACTCTTGACAACAATGGCCCTTTCATTTTTAAAAAATTGAAGTTAATCAATAAACGATTTCTATATATAAACCTAGAATAATTCCACACGTGCTATTGTTAGAATAGATGCTCCCCCCCCAACCCTTTCAGGACTTAACACTAAACTAGTATACTCAATTTATATACCAAAACTATCTACCATAAATCCTAAATTTGACTACTTGATTTTTGTCCCAGGTTTTTTTTAAGGCAACTGACAGTGCCAAGCCATTTTGTCACTTTAAGATTTTTCATTCCCCAGAGAGCAAGCTTTTAGAAGGATGACACTTTCCTGGAACTTTTCAAGCTGACACATTCGTCACTTACCTATTCAACTCTTCAGTCAGTTGTCTTTCCTTCAAGAGTTTAAATATGTAGATAATTTAGCCCTTGTAAAGGCTTATAATGTAGTTCATTTGAGAAGCTGGGGGAGAAAAAGGAAGCAAACCAATGACAATGCTCCTGAGTTTGTGGGGTGACAACTGCTTATTCTATTGCATAGATGTGTGTTACTGCTCTGGTTGTTTCTGGTTCAAGCCCACAATTAGCAATGAAATGGCCATTATAGGATTCATGCCGATAAACATGATACATTGCAGCCATACAGACATTTTAAATAATTATTCTTTTTATAACTAAGCCATATACTGAACAAGATTTATAATTTAGAGATAATATCCCCATTAGTAAAGTTTATGACCCAATAAACAGCTCCCACTAGTTAATAAATGCCAAAGCCATAAAAACAAAGACTATTAATGTAATAGAATTTCTGTACCTCCCTCTTTTGCTGGTGGTCTCAAGACACTGAAAGGAAATGCTATCTTAGGAAAAACATTTATTCTCGTTATGTAAATATCAGTGAATTGTCTTACAATCCATCTGGAAGTCTCCCAGCCCCCCTTGGTCCCAGGTGGTCCCAAAATGCTGATGCATTCTGCTTAGGTTTCAAGCAGTAGATAACTGTGGTTTTCAGCACCAATAAATCCCGAGACTAAAATTTTGGGGGAAGGAGGGCTGGAATTTCTGCCTCTTCTCTTCCCTCTGCAAAAGAGAAATCCCAACTATTGTCATTGTTCCAGGGTAATAATTTGAAAGAAGTTTCACAACCTTTCCATATACTTATATTTTCAGCTGCTAACATGCTCTCATTTTGAAGAAAAAGCAAGTGCTGCCTTTGGATGTCTGGGTGAGTTGAAGGTTAATATAGGCAAACCTTTTGTCCTAAGAACTAATTGTTATTTAGTATTCTTGGAACTGTGGGAATGATTGATAAAGCCATTTGAAAACCCAAATCAAATCATGTCTTTTCATACAAAACTGATTAAAAGCTGTTGAAGTTCACATTAAGTGGTTTGCTGAGGCACTGTTGTGAGGTATTGTCGCCAGCAGAGGATTAATTTGCAGTACTTATTTGCCTTTTATTACCTTTTTTACCTAACCACTTGAAAAGTAATGTGGGTAAGTCTATTGGTTTACTTTAGCTTAAGCTTACTAAAATAGTTATAATTTTAGACAACAGAGGGGAGATACAGAGCTTTGTAACTTTCAAGCATTTATAACAGTTTAAACATTTTGCCTACTTTATTTCCTGTATTGCCTTTGATTCAATTACTGACAAGTTACTATTCTTGTTATTATATTTTTTAAAGACTAGAGTATTTGAAGTTTGGTTATTTGGGGTCATAGAGCTTCCAGGCTTTAAGTTTAGAATATTTAAATTGCCCTCCCTTCTTTCAAATAGGGAATTATTGATGAGTAAAGTGAAATCTCAAATCAATACAAAACACAAAACTCTTGCCTTTCCAACTTGAATTTATCTTGAGTTGGGGTTGTTTCCTAGCCTTTTCCACTTATTTCTTCTTTCTCGTTTCCCTTCCACCACACGATTTAGCTATAAGTTTAGTAGTTGGAGTCATAACGAAATAGGGTCTTCCACAAAATATTTATGATATTGAATAATGCAGAAACCATTATAATCATTATAATGAAGTGTCATGCTTCCAATTACATGTACATTCATTTTAGTTATGAGTATAGATCCCTGAATTTTGAATACCCTTAAAAAATGGTCTATAAATAACCTTTCAGACAAACAGCTTCCCAGTGATGGTAGAAACATATACACGTGTGATGCGTCTCTGCTCTAATGTTTGTTTGTGCAAAGTCTGAATTGCTTCAAGTTGAAGGCAGGTTAAGACCTTTTCGAAAATGAGTGTTTTCAAGTTGACTGAGCATCTTCAGAGACACCGTGCTTTTCAGTTCCCAAGAGAATGTCATGTGTAAAAATGGAAAGCCCACTGAGGCAAGATCAATGAGGCTATTTAGAAAATAATAAACCTGGGGCGATAATGGAGCAAACATTCATTATTACAAAGGGTAGGACTGACTGTGCAATTAGTTTAAGAGAATTTTGTAACTCACCTCCTCCCCTTATTCTACCAGGTTATACATATTGGTTTAAATATACATTTTCATTCAAGGTCAATTAAGTTCCCTAAAACTAAGAGTTCTGAGACATCTTTGTCAATGGAGTGGCTAGAATATGCATCTTCTTTGTAATTTGTTCCTGGTCCTCAGAAAAATTCCTTGCAAGGGGACTTTCAAGCCCATTATGTGTCTGGTGTGTGGTACACACAGGAGCCCAGGGGTCAGCACTGCGGCTCAGAAGCAACTTGGTAAAAGCTAAAAAAATGTGGCCGATGAAAAACTCCACAGCGGCTCTGCAAGCAGAGAATTAATGACTCACTGGAATCAGTAGGAGCCTTTACTTCTAAATACTCATTAGTTAAAGCAGTGAGGCCTGATGTTATGCAAGTTAGAGAGGGAAAGGGGGGACTGCCCCTCCCCATTGTCTATTTTGAACAGAATATGCACATTTAACTCAAAGTGCTGAATGATTCAAATACATCAAACCAACTATTCATCAGTCTCCTAGCTTCCTGAGCACCACTTCGCATCTGTGTAAAGCCAACAATAGAGGAAATGCTTGTTATGACCCCACTATAATATTAAAATCCAGAGGGGCCGATAGCTTGGTGAAAACATAAAAATGCATTCTCCTTTAGAAATACTTCCACCAAAGTCATCTTTGTGTTTCTTTTTCCCTACTTTGCCTATACAACAAGAACCTCTGACTGAAATAGGAACTTGATAAAATTACTTTTGCCTGCTTTTTTCTCCTGTGCCACCACTGTTCATTATTGCTGTAAGGCCACCCGTTGAATAAAAAACAGGAGCTGAACGGCCATTTCAGACGCCTGTGAATACCCCCAGTTTTAACTATGACTGGAGCTAGGAGAGTGAGAAGGGAAGTGGCAAAAGATGACCATTTTAGAGGGGAGTTGGGACAAAAATAGGGACCACCTTGTGTGTGTGACTCATGTTGAAGAGTTTGCACTTCATCCCAAGGCAATGAGAAGTTTCTGAAATATTTTAATCTGGGGAATGGAAAGATCATGTCTGTATTTAAAAATCTCTGGCTGCTTTGTGTGTGTGAACTCTAAGAGTGAGTTTGGCTGCAAGAAGACTGATTAGGAGACTGTTGCCAGAGAAGTGATGGGTAGTTTGGATTAATGTAATGTTGGTGAGAAGTGGAGGGATTCACGATGCATTTGCGATGTTGGAGATGAGGGAGAAGAAATCAAAATTATGACTGGGTCATTTTCACAGCTGGATAGATGGTGTTGCCTTTCATTGTACTGGGGTACATGAGAGAAAAATCAAGTGAAGGGAGAATATCAAAAATTCTGCCTTGGGCATGCTGAATTAGGGTGCTTGCAGAACTAATAAGTGGCCATGTTAAGGCAGCTGGATTAACAGGTCTGAATCTTAGCAGAATGGCCTGGGCTGGAGATACATACTTGGGAATCATCAGAGTATGGATGGTAATTGTGAGTTTGGATAAGATTACCCAGGGGAGGCATATTGTCTGAGAACCATAGTGCCTTGCATATTACTAACAGTAATAACTTTCTAAAAACCAGCTTTATTGACTTAACAGTAAACTGCACATATTTAAGTATACAATTTGATGAGTTGGTATATGTATGTACCCACGATACATCACCCCTATCAAGATCATAAATTGTTAAATTAAACTAAATTTGGCCTGAGGCTGCCTTCCTACTTTGAGTCCTAGCATAATGAACTATAAATAACTGAAAGCCTGACTTAGGAGTGTCAGAGACATTTGAACCAGAGCGACTCCATCTTGAACAGGGGCTGGGCAAAATAAGGCCGAGACCTATTGGGCTGAATTCCCAGGAGGTTAGGCATTCTTAGTCACAGGATGAGATAGGAGGTCAGCAGAAGAAACAGGTCACAGAGACCTTGCTGATAAAACAGGATGTGGTAAAGAAGCTGGCCAAAAATCCACCAAAACCAAGATGGTGATGAAAGTGACCTCTGGTCGTCATCACTGCTCATTATATGCCAATTATAATGCATTAGCATGGTAGAAGACACTCCCACCAGTGCCAGGACAGTTTACAAACACCATGGTGATATGGTTTGGTTCTGTGTCCCCACCCAAATCTCACCTTGAATTATAATCCCCATAATTCCCACGTGTCAAGGATGGGACCAGGTGGAGATAATTGGATCATGGGGGATGGTTCCCCCATGCTGTTCTCATGATAGTGAGTCAGTTCTCAAGAGATCTGGCATTTCCTCTGCTTGCACTCACTCCGTCCTGCCACCATGTGAAGAAGGTGCCTGCTTCTCCTTTGCCTTACACCATGACTGTAAGTTTCCTGAGGCCTCCCCAGCAATGGGGAACTGACTGTGAGTCAATTAAACCTCTTCCCTTTATATATTACCCAGTCTCAGGTATCTCTTCATAGCAGTGTAAAAATGGACTAATAAACATGTCAACATCCGAAAGTTACCCTATATGGTCTAAAAAGGTGAGGGACCCCCAGTTCTGGGAAATCTCGGTTCTTTTCCCAGAAAACTCATGAATAATCCACCCCTTGTTTAGCATATAATCAAGAAATAACTATAAGTATAATCAGTCGAGCAGCCCATGCCACTGCTCTGCCAACGGAGTAGCTATTCTTTTATTCTTTACTTTCTTAATAAACTTGCTTTCACTTTATGGACTCATCCCAAATTCTTCCTTGCATGAGGTCCAAGAACCCTCTCTTGGCATCTGGATTGGGACCCCTTTCCAGTAATAAAAACCCAATACCCCAAAGTTTAGTACCTTGGTGTGCTGAGTACTTTAAAGGAAATTTGAAGTCCTCAGAGGCAAGGTCTCTCTGACCCTCTGCTGCCCTCCTCCCTCTATTCCTGGTTTTCTCCTAGAAAAGTGTCATAGAAACCAGAATTCCTCTTCCCCAATGTAGGTCATAGAACCTAGAAAGGTCATTCTCTGACCTTCCCCTTTTCCCTTGGAGACCCTCATGTGACAGGTGTCCTATCCTATACACAGAGGAAAGAAATGCTACACAGAGAGGCCAAAAAGCATATGAATGGACAGGCCTTACTGAGCTTCCCCCTTCAGTCTATTACCATTAGATTGTACCCTTTTGTCTAATCACATTTCCACACAGCTGTCCATTCTTCATCAAACCTAAGCATAAAAATAGACAGTTTGTCCTGGGTCTTTGGGTCTGAAGGCTCCCATGTCACATAGAACCTGGATTAAATAAATTAGTTATGCTTTTCTCTTGTTAACCTGTCTTTTGTTATAGGAGTGTTGGCCGTGACTCTTACGGTGAGGAAAGGTAGCACACATTTCTACCCCTACACTTGTTATGGTTAATCCTTCAAATTTTAGCCATTCTAATAGCTGTGTAGTAGTACAGTCAATTGTTCATCTCCATGGGTTCCACATATGTTGATTCAACCAACTGCAGGCAGAAAACATTTTTTAAAAATTGCATTTGTACTGACATGCACATATGTTTTCGCCTTGTCATTTTCTAAACAATGCAGTATAACAACTATTTACATGGTGCTTACATTGTATTAGGTATTGTAAGTTATCTAGAGATGATGTAAGGTATATGGGAGGAAGTGTATAGGTTATATGTGAACACCTATGCCACTTTGTATATCAGGGACTTGAGCATCCACAAATTTGGGTATCTGCAGGAGGTCCTGGAGCCAATCCAGGTATTGATATCAGATATCAAGATATCAAGGAAAGACTGTAACTCATTGTGATTGTTTATATTCTTCTTATTGAGTTTTGAGAGTTCATTATATGTTCTGGACACAGGCTTTTTATCTGATGTGTGATTTCCAAATATTTTATCTCGGACTATAGTTGTCTTTACATTTTCTTAACAGGGTCTTTTGGAAGGCAAAAGGTTTTAATTCTGATGAAGTCTATTT